TTTTTATCGTGTTTCTGTTAAAAATTTTGTGGAGTCTGTGATTTTTTGGGAAGTGTTTGTTGATTAAGGTTAAAAATTTTTTTCCTACATTAGTGCTAACATTTTTGCTGAAAGGAGGGTTGAACCATATGATGTTTCGTTTACGATTTTTGGTATGTGGTAAATTTAAATTAGGGTGATATGAAAGTTTGTGATTAAAACCGGATCTTAATAGTGCGTCATTGTACATAGGAGTAGATATTTGGAAGATTTCTTCGCTAGACGAATTTGCAGACAATCTTAACTCAATTGAATGCGGAAGCTGTTTTAAAATATTAGGCGGGTGGTTTGAATCAGCGTAAATATAGTTTATAGAATTCCCGGGCTTCCTTTCCTTCCTTTCCCTTCGAATATGTTTGAAAAGTATTGTTGTTGAGATTTAATGTAACGTCAAGATAATTTATCATTTTAATGTTGCACTGTATTGATATATATATATATATATATATTTATATATATATATATATATATATATATATATATATATATACATATATATATATATATATATATATATATATATATATATATATATATATATATATATATATATATATATATATATATATATATATATATATATATATATATATATATATATATATATATATACATACATATATATATATATATATATATATATATATATATATATATATATATAAATATAAATATATATATATATATATATATATATATATATATATATATATATATATATATATATATATATATATATATATATATATATATATATATATATATATATATATATATATATATATATATATATATATATATATATATATTGTTGTTGTATGATTTAGTATTAAAAATACTAAACTCTTGATCGTTGTAAAGTGCTCAATATTTAAGAAATATTTAGTTTTTCAAAAACAGAGCGTTTTATACTTAAATATAGAAAAAACAACTTTTAATGGAACTTAAAGTTTCATGCTTATCGGCAATCATCAGCCATGAAGTACAAAATCAAAAATATAAAAAACCGTTTAAAAATTACAAACTACAGTAGAATGAGTTCTGACGTCTTAGTACAAGAAGACGTAATGGAAAACTAATCTCCGCTATCAAATAATGAAAGAAATTTATTTTTATGTTTACATTTCGAAACTACTTCGCCTCTTTTATTTAGCAGATTATCTCCTTTGTAAAATAATATTTCAAATTTCTCATTTAAACAAAGCTTACAAATTTTTGACGCAGGATTGTGTGATTTACAGCGTTTAATTATATTCCATTTGATTGAAGATGTAAAATTGTTATCTTTTAAATCCCATACTTCCTTAGATAACTCTGTGTCGTTCTTGTACTTTTTTATGTTGAAGGATTTTAGATGGTTTGCATAACGTTATATATATTATTTGATCCCCAAATAATATATATTATTTGGGGATCAAATAATATATATTAAATATATATTATTTCTTCTTTCATTATTTGATTGCGGAGATTAGTTTTCCATTACGTCTTCTTGTACTAAGACGTCAGAACTCATTCTACTGTAGTTTGTAATTTTTAAACGGTTTTTTATACTTTTGATTTTGTACTTCATGGCTGATGATTGCCGATAGGCATGAAACTTTAAGCAGGGGTGGATCCAGCATTTTTTGGTGTTTAAGATAGCTAACTTCCAGACATGTAGCTAACTCCAAACATTTACATGTTTATACTTATGTCAAGTAAGGATGGTTTGCAAAAAATTGCGATGGTTGGAGTCTGGGAACAAAAAAGCCCTAAAATTTGAGACGTACCTGCCCCAAAAGTGAGAGCAACAAGTTGATAAAATATTTTTTGTACTATTTTCAACAAGACTTATATTTACCGATAAATTTTAAATTTCATAGTAAAATATTTTAGCGCTCAAAAATTATGACCATATAAAAATTGTGACCCCCTCGAATTGAGGGGGATTCAAACTTTACATTGTCATAATTTTTGAACGCTGAAATATTTTACAATGAAATTTTAAATTTATTGATAAGTATAAGTCTTAATGAGAATAGTACAAAAAATATTTTATCAACTTGTTGCTCTCACGTTTGGGGCAGGTACGTCTCAAATTTTAGGGCTTTTTTGTTCCCAGGCTCCAATCATCACAATTTTTTGCAAACCATTCTTATTTGATATAAGTATAAACATATAAATGTTTGGAGTTTGCTCCATGTCTGGAAGTTAGCTATCTCAAACACCAAAAAATGCTGGATCCGCCTGTGTTAAGTTCCATTAAAAGTTGTTTTTTCTATATTTAAGTATATATATATATATATATATATATATATATATATATATATATATATATATATATATATATATATATATATATATATATATATATATATATATATATATGTATGTATGTATATATATATATATATATATATATATATATATATATATATATATATATATATATATATATATATATGCGTAGTATAAGTTTTAATATATATATATATATATATATATATATATATATATATATATATATATATATATATATATATATATATATATATATATATAGTGCTTTTTTGTTTTTCTTTATTTTATTTTAAATTTTCATCATATTTTTTGTTATAGTTTTATTTCTTTTAGTTTTAAACATTTATCGTAGCCACAATTATTACTATTTTTAACTTTACTATTATTATTCATATTTTATTATTTTAAATTTAAATAAATGTTTTATGTTCTGGTTAGTTGTTAAGGTGAGTTTCCATTCATCCGTTTTTTCGCGGGAGCGGGATAGGAGGGGGGGGGGAGGAATCACGTGAGCATGCGAAGTTTTCCTTCAGACAGATTAAAACTTATACTACGCATGCCCACGTGATTATTTTTCCCGTCCCTTTCCCTATCCCGTGAAGGAAGCGGATGAATGGAAACTGACCTTTACGCTTTATCAGTCAATTGTTGCTAACTAACTTATATGTATATTTAACTATTGTGTTGATAAAAACAAGTGACTTAGTAATTTGATTATTTTTTAATTTAATTAATATTATATTTGTTATTGTTGTTGTTTGTTTTATTATTATTGTGGTTCTTATGTTTATTACTATAAATATTATTTTTATAACTATAATTATTATTCTTATAATTATTACTAATTATATATATAAAGATCTATATTTTTGGTGTTTTCTTGATATTAGTAGAATTACTATTTGTAAATATCCATGAAATTATTTTTCAGAATATATATATGATGATTATATATATATATATATCAATGCATTATAATACATATATATCAACAATTTATAAATCGTTGAATTTTGCTACAAATAATCAACCTTTTCTAATTTCTTATAAAAAAATCTTGTGCAACAATTAAGCAATTTTCAGATTCTTTCCATTTGCGCATTATTTACAATTATTTTTATGATGTCATATTAATATGTGATGACATATTTCCAACTATCATATAACGGTAAACATAACGCTTAAACATAAAGCCTTACTTTAATATACAAATATACATATAGCTGTGACTAACATAACGATTTAGACATATTTATTACAAACATAACGGTAAACATAACGCCAAACTTTTCATTTACCGTTATCTAACCGTTATGTTAGCATTATATTTTTTGCTGTGTATACATTTATATATATGCATATACATCATCACTATCACCAGGGTAAATTCTTCCTCTGTTCCCAAAACTTGTACAATTTTATCAATATATTGTTAAAAAAAAACTGAGTTGACTGACACATTGACAGCATTGCAGTGAAAAATATTTAAAATATTGATGGTCAATATCATCAAAACGAGATGCCTAGGGCGAAAAATCGGATTTTGTGTTTTCTCCTTTTCTTACACATGTGTATTCTTAAAATGTGTATATTACATGGACTTTCCTCAATAAAAAACAATATTTCGGTAGTGATGAGTATGTGAGATTGAATTATAACATCTAATTTATTCAGTTTGAAGATTTTTTACATTATTGTCGTTTCTCGTTTTATAAGTTGGTCGAGTAATTTTATATGTGTATCCAAGATTGATCTCTAGACAGTAATAGATACACTCATATTTAAAGCATTTTTAATTTCAGTAATAGTTGTCGTTGTACAATTGTTTATAAGCTCTTCAATTTTTCTTCTAACCTCTTTATTATAAATAACGCGACGAGCGCCACCTCTAGAACCAGGAAGTGTTAATTTCGTTCAATAATACCTTCTTAAAACTGGTTGTTTTGTGTTTTTATTAATTCCTGTTAACGATGAAGCTTCAGATTGAGTTTATCTTTAATCAACGACTAGTTTCACAACTGTTAAAAAACTGACTTGTGAACTACTATCTAAGCAAAACACGCCTGCACTACTTTATATAACGGAAACCCCTCAAAACGTCTGGGAAACAGTTAACACTGACTATTTAGGTCCATCTCAAACGGGAAATACATCCTAACGTTAATTGATCAGACATCCTAATATCCATTTGCCAAAGTAGTAAACTCGACAAATACAAAAACATTCATTCAAACACTTGCCAATTTTATAGCGCTATTTATAATACCTCGCACCATCATTACGGACAACGGCCCTCCTTTTCATTCATTCTTAATTCAATACATTACTCCGTGGTGGCTGCAGAGCAACGGAGACATAGAACGTTTCAACCAACCTCAAACCAAAATTATTCGAACTTCTACAATAGACAAAAAAGACTTTCCCCAAAAAATTCAAAAATTTTTATTTTTATATAGAAATACTCCCCGTTGCACAACAAATATAGCACCAGTAGACTTAATGTTTACATTCCATAGACAATACATTCCATAGACCAGGGTTGTCCAACCTTTTTACAGCCTGGGCCATTATTTTATTTTGATGACAACACGAGGGCCACAAATTAAGAAAAATCATTTTGTTTAAACTTCTAATTTAAAACAACTAATTCCATTTCAATATTGTCAAAAAAAATGTATTTAATGGGAAACTTGGCATTGTTTATTTTTACACAATTGATCAATGTCAGCTTTTATAGTGGACGATGAAATCCGAAGTGTATCAGTGAGGTGTTCATCTTTCAACCTATGTCTCTGCTCTGATTTAACATGTTTCATTCTTGAAAAAAATTGTTCACAGATGTATGTGCTTCCAAAAAGGGAAAAGTATTTCATAGCGTGTTTGCACAAATGTGGATAAACTTCAATGTTCATGTATTTTTTATAAAGTTCTAACAATTCAACATCTTTGTAAGCATCTTTCAAATCTTTATTGTTTTGTAGTTCTATTAATTCCATTTGAAATTCATCTCTTACTGTCTCAACTTTAATGGAAAATGGATGTGAAAATAAGTCTAACTCATTCTTTACTTCTTTAAAATCACAAAATCTTGTGTCAAATTCATCAATTACTTTTAAAATAAGATTACAATATTTTTCATAGTCAACTGTGTTGGTATTTCTTTCTGACAATGTTTTAAAATGGATAAGTGATTTTTGACTTAATTGTTGTTTGAGAAGTTTCAATTTCAAAACAAATGTTTCTACATTTTCATATAATTTACTAATAAGTTGATCTTTACCCTGCAACTTGATATTTAATTCCATTAACATCTGTGTAATGTCAACTAAAAATGCCAAATCATTCAGCCAGTCATTATTTTCAAGAAAGCTTGTGTCTTTATCTTTAATTTTTAGAAACTTTATTATTTCAGGGTATTAATATCCAAAATCTTTTCAAAGTTGCAGCTCGACTAAGCCATCTAACTTTGCAGAAATAAATTACATCTTCTGCCTCACTTCCACAATCCTCAAGCAATTGTTAGAACTGTCTGTGATTAAGGCCACGACTTCTTATAAAATTAACAGTTTGGATAACAATTTCCATGACTTCTTTCATTTCTAATACTTTTGCACATAACTGTTCCTGATGTATAATACAGTGATATGAAAGAATGTTGTGATTAATGGATTTCTTAAATAATGCCACAAATCCAATATTTTTTCCTTTCATTGAACTTGCTCCATCTGTAGTGACACCAGAGAGTTTTGTTTCTGGCAAATCAAACTTTATCATTGTTTTTTTGACTTCAGAAAGAATATCTTCCCCTTTAGTAGTGCCTTTCATGTGCCTGAAATCCAACAGTTCTTCAATTATTTCAAAATTACTTGTTATAAATCTAATAAAAATAGCTAACTGAGCCGTATCACTTCTATCTGTTGATTCATCAAGTGCCAGACTATATGCTTCACACTTACATAGTTTTTCTTTCAATGCTAATTCAATATTCTTTGATAGATCTTCAACCCTTCTTGCAATTGTCTGGTGTGAAAGACTGAGATCTTCAGCAAATTGTATTTTTTTAGGGCATACCTCATTACAAAATTGTTTTATAGAGTTTTTTATTAAATCTCCAGTAGAAAAAGGTTGACCACTTTTTGCAATATTTTCTGCAATTAAAAAACTTATTTTGGTAGCACTGTATGAGCTAATTACTTTACTTTTCATTATTGATTGTTGTCCGATAAAATTTTTCTTTAGCAGTTCTACCTTATCAACACGAAATTGGCCCTTGAATTTATCATAAGTTGCTGCATGTTTTGTAGTATAGTGTCTATTAACATTATACATTTTGCACACGGCAATTTTTTCAAAACAAATGAGACACATAATTGAATTATTTTGCTCCATTACAAAATATTCATTTGTCCAAGATGGGTTAAATATACGACCTCCTCTTCCACTTTCAGTTTTAGCTCTACGTCTTTTATTAGCACTAGCAGAAGCCATATTTAAAAAAAAATCAATATAACTATGGTTCCGCTAACCAAATAGTCAATACCGTTTTAACCGGTTTTATAAAAAAAATAAGGCGGTAGTTTTAACCGTGTTGCAATTTTAAAAAAAATCTGATTTTTAAAATTATATTAAAAAACTGCCCTAATTCTGAGCTACAGAAAAAATAGTTTTAAAAATATAATATTCACTTGATTTTGTTAAAAGTTTTGAATGGTTTTTGATAAGTTAAGAATTAAAAACGCGGGCCATGGCAAAAGACAACGAGGGCCACTTTGTAGCCCGCGGGCCACGCGTTGGACAACCCTGCCATAGACAATATATCAACCATAGGTCAAAAAGAAATAGCTTACGAAAACCAATTAAAATCACACGCAAAACAACATCATGACAAACGATTTGAGTTAACTGCCATCATCGAAAACATCCATTCACGATTACGGAAATCAAAGGAACAAACCTGATATAAAGACATTTACAGCTAAATCTGATATAAAGACAATTACGTGAAATAGCTCACATTTTTAACCTATTCCAATGCAATTAAAACTATCAAATAACGAAGAAAACGAGTAGGAAGAGGGAGATTATTTTTTTGAACCGAAAATAGTAGAAGAAGAATAAATACAAACTGAAACATTACAAGTACAAGCAGATCAACAGCAATTAAATGTATTACCCAGAAAAAAATATTCCACGAAGACATAGATTACTATGAATTTTGGCAAAAATGACAATACAATAATAAATAACTGAACGCAACAAATAATAATAACTAACTGAACACGACAAAATTTAAAAATATGATAACCAAAATCTTAAACATATCTTTGACTTTAGGTGACAACGAGAAAGATGTTGTATCACAATAAAGAAAGAGAACAACTACCGTGATGAAGATTAGATTGCGTTGCGTTGAATATACTCAAATATAAAAACAACAAGATCTTGCATATTTTGGGAAACGTGGCATGTATGGGCATAAAGGAGCACGGTATGATTTTACTTTTATATTCAAGTCGTTATTTATTTAAAAACATTTAGTTATTAACAAGTAACTGCTAATTGTGTTAGTACGTGAACTCTCCTTCCCCCTCTCCCCCCTCACCATACTCTTTTGTATGCTATTTGAAAGCCCCCCTTCCTTCCTTCTATGAGCATGCGCACTTTATTGAAGACCCCTAACATTTTGATAATAACATCTATATTTTATTATTATATAAAATAAAAAACGCTTTTATAGTTATTTTAATTTTTTATATTTGCTTCTGGTTTCTTTAATGAGAAATGTATATTTAAATAAATATTTTATACTTAACTATATTTAAAAAGATTAAATAGTTTGTTATCATTATCTTTTTTATTTACTATAAAAGTTATTGATAAAAAAGTCTGCTGAATAAAATAAAGTTTATGGAGTGCGTCATTCAATACAATTGTAGAATACAATATGGAAATTATAGATTAAGATTTTTTTTTATTACTTAATATTTTTTATTTTTGTGCTTTATAAATTATTTTTTTGCGACTGATCATTAATTCAAAATTTAAATCCTTGGCGAAGGGGACTGAAGCAGTGACTATTAGCACAAAGGTTACTTATATACAGTTAGTAAAGGTAATTGCAATACTAAATATTTTTTTAATTTTTTTTTTTTGTAGAATTCAGTTTAATATTTGAAAGTTAATTTAAAGCTTAAATTTAAATTTTAGTTTGAAATTAATTCTTCAAAAATCTTTTAAACAGTGAAGACTAAGTAAACAGAATAAAGTTAAATAGGTTATCATAATTAGTTAAGTTGCAATAAATAGATTATCATAGTTACTTAATTTGTAATAAACTTTTATTGAAGTTAAATAAAAAGAAATAGTGAAGAGAACCTATTTTACTTTTTATGAGCCTCGTTACGCCTCTCTAATATTTAATTTAAATATTCGACATTTTATAGATAAAAAAACTAACTAGATATAAGGACAAACGGACAAGACCTCATGAGTGGAAATGATAGTCTTGACGGATAAGTGATTGCCCAGCCAATTTTACAATAACTTATATAGCTATGAATAAATGAAAAGTAAAAAGATTTTAAAAGTTTTTATCTAACATATATCTTGTTTTATACATAACTTCTATGCTTTTTGAAATTTTATTTTTTATTTGAGTCACCAACTTATTTTCCCATCGATTAAAATGCCTAAGAAATTAACACAGAATATCCTTTGGAACTTGTTTTACTGAAATACCCGAGTTTTAAGGGCAAGGTGTCACATTTAGAAGATTCAGAAAAGAGTGTATATTTACTTTTAGCTGTGTTCAGAGAGAAAAAGTTTGTGGGCTTTAAACCATTTGTTGAGGTTGTCAAGTTCATGATTCAAAGTGGTAAAGGTTGCCTAAGTGTTGGAATGGGGATAAAAAACTCTTTAGCATTAAGATTAAAGTTTAGTATACTAGATGACAATTAAATATAATTTGTTACATAAATAATAAACAATAAAGGCCCTAGAATAGATTCCTGTGGAACTCCGCAGGTAATGTTTTCTGATTTAGTGTAGGCTTTGTCATGAGATACACATTGTTTGCAATTTTTAAGATAGGAAAAAAACGGGATTCTACTGTAATAAGTAAGGGGGTATTCAATAATATCAAGAACTTCTTTAACAAGCCTAGAGCTTATACCATCAAGACCTGAGCTTTTTTTTGGTTTTATCATAAAAAATTAAACCGAAGTTTATCAGGCGATACGTCAAGCTCATCTATTTTACAGTTCAAGTTTTTTTTATTATTTCTGATATTATTTTGTAGTAAATTTAAGGAATCAGTTTTTTAGCTTTTTTTTTTCAGGTTTTCAAACAGGTTTTTGTAAATTTTATAAATTTTTTTCGTTTTGATAGGTTTTTTTTTTAAGTGTTGTTCATATATTTTTCTTAGAAGATTTAATAAGTCCTTTCGTAGTCCATGACTTTGTAGACTTTTAAGCTTGATTTTGATTTCCTTCATTGAAAACACTTCGTCGTACCCATCAAAAACTCTTTGTAAAAAACAATTCATAGGCTTTATTAGTATCTTTGCAATTATGGATTTGTTTCCAGATTACTTTAAATAAATAATTTCTAAACCCTTTAATATATCAAATTCAGTAATCTGCCTTTTTATTTTCGTTAGTACATTGCTTATTTTTTCTTTTTAGGTTTATTTGATTTTGATTAATATCTCCCGTGATGTAAATTTGTTTATTTATTTTTATACTTAAATTTTTAAGTGTTTTTAGAAAGATTTTTTATTTCCGCAGATTCGAAACAAGGATTTTATATTTTTATGAACGTGACAATAAAAATGATTGTTAAAAAAATTTCTTATTTCAACAAAACCTAACAACTTAAATTTCAAATACGAAATAAAAATTCTGTTCTTAAAATATTTTTTACTTCAATTAAATAAATAAAAAAATATTTGCTGCTCCTAAAGTAAGAAAATATTGCTAAACGAAACGTTTACATAAAAGTGAACCTGTAAAAAACATGCAGGAGCTCAATGAAGATACGGATGGCTAAATTCACCACAACCTTTTCATAGAGCCCCTATGTAGGCTTTACGAGTTAAAAATTAGGTAAAATGGTTAAAATACTACAGTACTGTAGTAAAATATTACGTTTCCAATATAATTAAAACTTTCATAAATATTTCCATTAAATTAAGAAAGTAAATAGTATTAATGTAAGTTTAGTCATTCAAATTTACTAACAAGTTCTTTTAAATATAAAAAATAAGAGATAACAAACAAATAAAAAACTAAGAATCAAACTCGATGTTCATTTAGAAAAAAAAAAGATCAATTATTTATCAAACTCTTTTTAATATAAAAAATAAGAGACAATCAAGCAAATAAAAAAATAAGAATAATGGAAACTAGATTTGGAAAGAAAGATTTTCATTTAGAAAGAAAAATAAAATTTATTTATCTAGGTTAAAATGTTCATTTTTTATTTAAACTTAAAGGATCTAAAGAATAAACTCTTTTATTGAAAAACTTAAAAAAATAAACTTTTTATTTTTTGAAGGATATATGAATAAACTCTTTGTTTTTTGAAAAGTGTTCCATAGATTTGGTCTATGGTTACCGTAGAAAAAAACCTTTTGAATCTTGCTCATGCATTAAAAGATTTTGTTTCTTCACTTAGTTATATTGTTAATCAGCACCTTCAAATATATTGTAAACAAGCCTAAAAGTCGCATTTCAAATTATTTTAAATTGGTTATCACTGCTCCTTTGCTAGACCATCTGAGTACTAAGTTTAACGCAATATTTGGTGGTACAACTATAAAATGTCATAGCACCTGTCTTTTAATTTCTTTGTTCTGATCATAATTTCTTCAAAAAACAAATACAGAACTTCAATGTTCTTGTTATACTAGTTAGAAAGACCGCATCATATCTTTTAGTTCTTTTTATTTAATCAGAGGCTCTTCTATTAACTTCCAACTCTAATAGTGGTTGCTTGCAGCTTTGTTGTAAGTAAGATGTTTTTAAAAAAAGGCTTTATTAGGCTTATTTACTATTTAATTAATAACCATAGGCTTTATTATGCAAGTATGACCTGCGGGAAGTTTGATTGAATTTTACTTAACTGGCAGAATTTCAAAAAATGAATTCTAATCTAATATTACTGAAACATTACAAGCAACAGAGTTTTTTTTTTAAGAACGCACTTAAAAAAGTTATAAAAGAATGGTTAGTAGGAGTTGCAAAGCAAAATCGTAGATAAAGTCTATATGGTTTAGTTTAGCTTTTCACACAGAGTTGTCTATAGATTATAAACGAGTTTTTAACAAATTTGTTATAAATACTTGTAAATTGTGTTTTAAATAAAATTCAAATATAATAAAAGTATAATTTTAAAAAATGTCGCTGCTAGCTTTTGTTAAAAAGTGTTTTCATAGCCAAACATTTTTGCAAAAACATTATTTAGCATTGCGCAGTTATTACAAAAAGCTATTTGACTCGTTTTAAGTATTCATGAAGTTTATTTATAAAATTATTAAAAAAAAATTAAATTTTTAAAGATTAAATTTTTAAAAAGATTTTTTGTAAAATAGTGTTAGGACGTGGTTTGTCAGTCTTTGTCTTTGTCAGTCATTATAAACTTTCATCTTTTGTACTATAAACGTTTGGCTTTTGTTATAAATAAAATTTATAAACTCTTGCTCCTACTAATAGTAATATTCCATAGTAGTACTATTGATTTACTATTTGATTTTTATTTTTAATACCATGGTCTTGAATTTTGTCTATAAAAATTTTGTATTTAAAAAATTATAACTTGTGTTTTTTAAATTTGCAAAACTCATATTTTTCAGCTTTAGTGGCCATTTTAGCGATTAAAAATCATTTAAAAAACTATTAAAACATTTTTATAAAATACACTTAACCCGGTCAAGACTAAAAAAAATGGATAGGGAAAGGGGATTTTTATGTAAACGTCTTTTTTAGACTTACCCAAAAAATTTCCTGAACAAGGCCCATGAGGTATGCTATTTCATATTTACAATACTTGCTACTAATTCTTTGCACTTTTAGTTCACATTTTTGGTAAATTTATCATTCAAGTTTTTTGGAATGAAGCTGTTATTATATTTATACATAAAAATGTTGGAAAGTATTGATTTCATGTAAACTTATCATTTTCATGTTTTTTAAATAGTTTTGTTTGTTCATACTTTTTTTCTTATATAAAAGTCTGCATGCACGTTTTTGTAAAGAAATTATTTTTTTAGTTTTTGTTGTTTGAGTACTGCCTATGTGATATCGGAACAGTAAATGAAATAATAAATTAGACCGAGATACTTGATTTACGAGCATGCGTTCGTAAATTAAGTATTTAGCTATATTAAACATAGTTCTATATATATATAAGCTATATTAAACATAGTTCTGATAAAAAGTTTGTGTGATGCGTTAAATTTATTTAATAACTGATGGCTTAAATTTATTAAGTGTATGATACGTTATTATTTATTTATATTGTTTTTGTTAAAAATAAAAAAGAATTTTTTTGGAAAAAAACTTCTTCTAAACCGATTAACCATTATGAAATGAAGTAGTAATTTGATGATTTTGAAGAATATTTTCCAGGGGTTAGTAGTGGAACCATTTTAGTTGAGCCCAGACAAAAATCTTGACCTTCACCCATCCTCCCAAATTTTGTTAGTTTTGACTCCTTCTATGGTGGATTGAGTGCATTTTATGAAAAATGTTTCAATAATTTTTTAAATACTAATTTATGACATTGCTAAAATGGTCACTAAGCTAAAAATATAATTTTTGCAAATTAGAAAAAAATTATTTTAAGAAAATACTCAGTTGACGTATTTAAAATTTTTTAAATACAATCAAAGATATAAGGTATTGTAACAACAAGACAGCATCTTTGTTGTTACAAAATATTATATTTTTTATATACAAATTATATATATAAATAAATTATATTATATTATATTATACTATATTATATATATATATATATATATATATATATATATATATATATATATATATATAATATATATATATATATATATATATATATATATATATATATATATATATATATATATATATA